GTTCCTGGAATGTAGTGGGAGCTGCTGTTACCCAGCTTTAGCAATAAAGACTCCTTCTAATATCCTACACGTGGGTCCAGTGTGATCTCTCTCCACTCCACAACACTAATGTATTCACTCACCAATAAAATGACAAAACAAGAAAACCTGACAATAGCACCTATGGCACAGATAAAGGAACCACAACTGCCCATACATTGCTGGTAGGAGTGCATGGCATCCCTCAGCGTGCTAAACTACTTGTTTGTTGAAGTTTTCCTCCTAGATTCACCTGGTGCTGCTTTTGTAGCCAAGCCTTACTTTCCAGAATAGACACAATCCAGATGTAATTCCATCATGATGCATCGTGTATATTACAGTTAACCTAAAATATAGGAAGTCATATCAAATTGTTTTATAAATAACTTTCACAATACAAATCTGGAATTCACTAGACCACTCCTTTACAAAAAATTACAGGTGACTCTGCAACTTACAGGTGAAAAGTGCTGAAGTTACATAATCAGTAACAGTAGGAAGTAACAGTTGAAGTTTTGACAGTGTGACATCAAATATATTTCTCATTACACCATGGAGTATTCCATTATCTCCCTTTGTCACTTAGCTAGATTACAGGTTTCTGTTCTAAATGATTTTCTCCTCATGCTCTACTTGCACCCTCCTACTCACCCTGCTTCTGACTAGATACAATGCTTGCCAGCAGCTGACCTCCAACTCTACCTACAAACTACCTCCTGAGAGGAAGGGAAAACAGGAAGAGCAGAGAAGACTCATGGATAACCACTGCCTTCCAACACCCTTCCCGTACAGTCTGGACCATTCAGGTACCGCAGTCCCAGCCACAGCACACTGTGGCTCAGCCCAGCTTAGGCCTTCCCAGGACTTCTCATCAGTAAACCTGTATTTTTAAGTAATTAACTTGGGCATCCCCTAACTTCAAATTGGGCATCCATTTCTTCTTGACATTCCCACACTTGTTCTTTTTCTGTTATCCACTTGGGAATTATTTCCTCAGTAAAACATTCCAAAATCCATTTTCAGCAGCGCACTCTATAGCCAAGACCACCAATAGCTTCCTAGTATTTATTCACATTGAAAGTCTTCAGTGTTACCAAGGAAAGTGTTTAATATTTTCCTCAACACCATTAAGTCACTTGAGCTGACCTATGGCTGCACTGAAGACCAGCTTGTAAAACAGTGAATCTGTAGCTGTTTCTAACAATTTCTGGCTATATGTCACAGCGGTTACATGCTGAGAAAAAGGTCCTGGCCTGAGGTCTAGGCTGGCCTTGCAGTGGTGCAGGCATTCGGGAAATGAGGCAGCATGTGAAAGATTTGTATGTCTCTGTCTCTCTTTCATGCAATTAAAAATATTTTAAAACATCATGTAAGGAACTTTTTATATATATATATAAATAAGCAAACCATATACAGGGAAGTGCAGAAATCACAAACATCCACAAAGCGAAATGGAAACACACTTGTGCTACCCCGAAGCACCTAAGTAGATGGAGAGGCAGTACCCGAAGAATCAGATCAGAGAGGACACTCCGCATTTCCCTCATCTTTTGCTTTCCTTTGTGTAACAGAGGACACCTGGCTAGAGACTTGAAACTCTAGACAAATGTTGTTGTTGTCACAGGCAGGAAGAGGGAGCAAGTCAAAGATGGGCTAGAGAAAGCCAGAAAGACTGCTTCCAAGACCTGCCAGCAGCATTCTTCGCAGTATAACCTAGTCTCAACACTGGTCACCTATCAGTTTTAGAGGGAAACAATCCATTACTTTTCACTTCCTAACTAGGACTATCCTCCAACTCCTTCCCCAGCCCCCATCTTTCCAGGCTTGACCTAACCAGAAAGCTTGGAAGCAAGAGCTGAGCAAGCTTGGCTTGGCTCCTTGTCCTTTTTCCCTTCAAGCCTGCATGATTTCTCCTCTCTCCCCAGCCAAGCCTAGCTTAGAAGGCAAGTTCAGATGGGGGCTGGAGTGGAGGTTTGGTGCAAGTTCAATTTAAGAGGAAATAAACAAATCCACTGGCTATTTCAGAGCTATTCCCTCCAATTACAGCCTCACAAAATGAACAGGTGATACTTTACCCTTTAAGGTTTATTTATTTTTATTGGAAAGTCTGATCATATTTACAGAGAGAAGAGACACAGAGAAAAGAACCTCCATCTCTGGTTCATTCTTGTATCTCTTTCAAGTGTTGCAACTGGCATGGAGAAAGATATTACCTATTGTGCCCCCTAAAAGTCCCAACAAATAAGTGACTAACACAGAGAATTTTCTTCTCCTTACTAGTGACAACAGGAATAACCTCCTCCAATAAGTTAAAATTCAACTTTCAATCAACAGCCAACAAAATCCACGATCAGGATCCATCTGTCTTGTGATTTAGGATCACAAGTGATACAAGTATCTACTGAAACTTTAGTAGCTTTTACTCTTAAATGCATTCATTAAAGACTGAAACATAAGGCAGGAGAACAGCTCAAAAAATCAGAGTGCTAAAATCTCACACTCAGATGAGCACAACACAACAGCAGAGGCCCCAGAAGACCCAAGGCAGCAGAGCAGTGTGTGCTGGGTAGCACAGCCACAGTCCTGGCAGGGATCTGGGCTGCCTTCCCAAAGCTGTGAGCCCCACCATTTGCCCCCAAGTTGTTTAGCCAAGAAAGCATGAAGTAAAATTTCATCTGTAGTTACGTACTCTTCCTGGACAAAATATATATATATATACACACACACACAATGCTCCTCTTCTCATTTTCATTATTTCATTGATCATCACCATGGGAGAGAAACAGGGATCCTAAACGCAGAGAATTCATTCCACTTGCCTTGCTCAAAAAACAACAACAAAAGGATTAAAAAAGAAATAAAGAGGCGAACTAGCAACATAGCACAGTGCGCTAAGCCTCTAACTGTAGCGCCAGCATCCCATATGGTGCCGGCTCTTGTCTCAGCTGCTCCACTTCTGATCCAGCTCCCTGCTTATGACTTGGGAAAGCAGCGGAGAAAGGCTCAAGTGTTTGGGCCTGCCCCTGCACCGTCTTGGGACACCTGGAAGATACTCCTGGCTTCTGCCTTCCGATAAGCTCAGTTCTGGCTGTTGTGATCATTGGGAGAGCAAACCAACCGACAGAAAAATCTTTCTCTCTGTAATGTTCACTATTTTCCCAACGAAAAGAAATAAACCCTTTTTTTAAAAAAAAAATTATAAAGTTTGCACGAATAAAATCTTAAGATCTTACTGAATTAAACACGAATTAAATCATTAAGGCAAACCATTCTTGGATAGGAAGAAAACAGGAAAAATGCTAACCCCACCCAAACTAAATTCTATACTTATTGCTCTCCCACTCAGAATCACAATAGAGGCTTTTCCTGTGAGAAGACAATGAAAAAGTCAATAAAGAAAACCCAAAATGCCAGTGTCAAGAAATGATGAAAGGATTAGAATACAGAATCAAAAGTCAGAAAGAAATAAGGCAGCTCCAGGCAGGCAGCCCCTCCCTGCTGCCACAGAAGTTTCTCTGCTTCTTCCAATAAACCTTCACTTCCTCTTCTTTCCAAGTGCCTCATCGTTGTCCAAAGTCAGGAGACAAAGATGGCAGCACCCTACCCCGCTCCTGCAGAGAAGCTGCAACACAACAGACTGTAACTCGATAACCCATGCAGAAAAAAAATGTGACCTAATTGGAGAGAGAAGGCCAGCTTTAACAGGGAACTGCGCAACAGTGACAACACAAAGAGCTGTAAAAAAAAAAAATTCAGATATGCTGCCACATTTCTTGGAGATGAGACAGACTGCCGCAACTAAAGCAGCAGACTCCTCCCGCTGTGGCTCCTGCAACATTTTGAAGCAGAGGGATGGAGAGACAAAAGATTTTCCACCTGCTGGTTCAAACCCCAAATGACTCCAAAGGCCGGCTGGGTCAGAGCCAGTGGAAAGTCAGGACAGGAGAACCCCTTCCCAGTCTCTCCCCTACGGGCCAAGGACGGAACATCTTCCTTTGTATTTCTAGGCACAGTAACGGGGAACCTCGGTTCCGAAGTGGAGTGCTGGAGTTGCAAGCTTCAGCGTAACCCGCAGGCACTTGATCATGTTTCTTGCAGGTCAACGCCCTCTGGAACCCAGGATGAGCAGCTAACGCGGCCCGGTGCCAGACTACTTCCTCTGCAAGGACACCAACATTTGCTCTTTCAATTAGCCCATCCGGCATCCCAGGAAGCGGGCTACCTTTTCTACCCGTTAGGACACACCCCTGACAGCACTGACTCCTCCTCTAGCAGTAGACTTGTCTCACCTCTTCCTCCACACTCGCAATTCTGCAAGGCTTTCCGCTGCAGAGCAGGAGCTATAAGGCAAGTCTCCCATGCAAGCACTATGGTAGAACTCAGAGATCGCAGCTCCCAAAGGGCAATCCCTGGTTCTCACCCGTTAGACTAGCGTTGACCAGACCCAAAAGCAAGCTGCCTCGCGGCGGCCTCCGCCCTAGCGACAAGGGTGGAAACGCTCGGAAGAGGTCCGCCCAAGCAGGGGGCAGGATAAGGAGCGTTACAAACCTGCTGCGGGGAGAACTCACCTAATCCTCGCAAAGCCTAAAGCTCAACCAGTCGGAAGTGACGTGCAGACGGGACCTGCAGGTCCGCCACGCAATTGGCCGCAGCCTCAGCTTGGCCACCGGCTCGCCGCGCTGCCCCTCTGAGAGAGGACAAGTGTGGCTGAACGCCGACCACCCGCTGCGGCGTCTCGCAAACCTCCACTCCATCCCTCCAACCCCACGGAGGACCTGCAGAGCCGGGCCAGCGCCAGGGGTCCGGGCCCGCAGCCCCGACAGCACGGACTCACGGGGCGCCCCGGCCGGCCATGGGCTCTCCGCGCTCGGGCGCGCGCATGCGCAGCCTTCCCGTTCCAAAAGATTCCTCGGGTCACCGGGACGCCGGAGCCTCCGGCACCTGTCACCGCGGGTCCCTCGGCGGCCGGGGCTCCTCCCGCCGGCGCTCACCGCCGGCCCCCCGCCGTCGTCCAGGCCCTCCCGCAGCCTCCGGCAGACGCGCCGGCTTCCACTGACACGGGTCTGGGCGCGGAACGGCTTCCGCTTCCGGCGAGTATTGTGTGTCGCGCGCCGCGGGGCGGGGGCTGGGGGAGGAGGAAGGAGGGAGGAAGCGCTCCGGCGGCTCCTAGCCGCGCTCTCCCGGACCCCGCAGCCGGGAAGGTAGGTGCCGCCCCTCCGCCGCTGCGCCAGGGCCGGGGCCGGGGGCCTGTCCCCGCCGGTCAGCTCTGCACGCCGCGTCCCCGCGCCCCGCGACTGCGTCACCGGCCCCCCGCACGTAACCACCGCTGCCTCCGCCCGCCTCGGGCCCGGGCGGACGTTTTGCCGCCCCGGCGACGTCAGCGCGTCCGGCGTTGCTTGGCTACCCCGCGGTTCCCCCTGATCCTTGCTGCTTCTCGCTTTCCCGGGTGGAAACTCCTGGCCGCATCTCGACGGGTCTCGGCTGCGTCAGAGCGGCAGGCATCCCACCTGCACGTAACGGCTCTGACTCACCTGGACACGCGTGCCTCCCAACCCCGCGCCCACCATCACGTTTCCTCATCCTCCTCTCCAACAACCCTGCCCCAGATCTGGCGGGAGAAGATGGAGACGCGGGGGGCACCGAGTTTGGGACGTCGCTCGGGAGAGGGTCGCCAAATGATAGCCGTGACTGGAGGCCGTCCCTGAAGTTTGTCCTTGTACGGAGACACGTGGAATGGAGGGTGAGGAAGGATATTCTGAGGCAACCCAGGCCTTCCTGCCGCTATAGCTCCAGGTCGCTCCATCTCTCCCCACCCGCTTTGCCCTTCTTTCTTCCCCATCACTTCTTGGCCCGTGTGGAATCATACTGGTCCCTCACTGTGCATACAATGCCACTCATCACAGGTGAGGAGGAGGCTTCCTTTCTGCAAGACTGGGGAAGGGAGCAGGGGTGCTAGTCAATCATTGCATTCCCACAGGCAAGAGAAAGTCCCATCTGATTTTACTTTTCTCCCCTGTGGAGGGTAGAAATTCAGATGCAAATAAGTTACCAGCCCTTGCTGCAAATCAGATACTTTGTGTCAAAAACTGACACCAGAAAGATCCTTGCTAACCTGGCTGTCCTTTCCTAACACCTAGGCCTACCAGATGTGTCTTGTTAAATTCCCGGGGGCTAGGGCTGGGGAAATGTAGAGGGGATTATGAAGTGAAAAGTGTTGATGTTGTAAGGATGGGGTGGAAGGCCAGCTTTTGTTTTATAAATCTCCTATGCATTTCCAGGTCTTCTCAGGTGTCGCTTGATTGCCTCATTTGTTTCCTCTTAATTCTCAACCACTTCAGAAACCTAATCATTGGAGATAGCGTTTGTCCAAGGAATTAGCAGTCATTAGCTATTTTGAAGGACTTCAGTCTTTGGTGAATTCAGACTTGTCAGCTTTCAAGAAACTACCGGCCTAGGCTCAGTAACATATGTCTCAGAGGAGGCGCAGATTCCAAATCCATACAGCTAGCAGTGGGATGAGTAAGACATGTCAAGCAGAGAGTCCGTGTCCTGTAGGCTTGTCACATTGTCTTGAAGAGCGGTCACTGCCTTCGCCTGACTGACTGAATTGATCACCAAGCGAGACTGTTGCAGAGAATCGGGCTTGGGCTCCAGCATACTGTAATGAAAAACTTCTCTGTGACATGAACCTCTACACATCATTTCAGAAATCTTAATTAAGACTTTGAATTTTATGCCACTTTTCACTCCTCTCTCGTCTGTTAGGAAAAAAAAAATGTGTGCAAGTAGGATACTTTGGTCTGAAAACTAAAGTTCAAGTAGAATGGACCTAGATCAGGAGAAGCAGGCTGGGCTGTGACTGAAGATCTGACTCTGAAAAGAACACATTGACACCTGGGAGTTTTAGAAATGAGGAAACAGAAGGTTGAATTTAGAAGATGATGAAAGACTGGAGTTACTGTGTGTAGCGTGAGAGTAAATGCCAGGCCGGGAATTTAAAAAAAAAAAAAAGTGAAACCTTCAGCTAACCTTTTCTTTGAATGTCCACTTTCCTTCCCCCAGTTAAATGATGGCAGAGACAAGTCTGTTAGAGGCCGGGACTTCTGCAGCCTCCACAGCTGCAGCTCTGGAGAACTTACAGGTGGAGGCAAGCTGCTCCGTGTGTCTAGAGTATCTGAAGGAGCCAGTCATCATTGAGTGTGGACACAACTTCTGCAAGGCTTGCATCACCCGCTGGTGGGAGGACCTGGAGAGGGACTTCCCTTGTCCTGTGTGTCGGAAAACCTCTCGCTACCGCAGCCTCCGGCCCAACCGGCAGCTCGGAAGCATGGTGGAAATTGCCAAGCAGCTCCAGGCGGTCAAGCGGAAGATCCGGGACGAAAGCCTCTGCCCCCAGCACCACGAGGCCCTCAGCCTTTTCTGCTACGAGGACCAGGAGGCTGTATGTTTGATTTGTGCAATCTCCCACACGCACCGGGCCCACACCGTTGTACCGCTGGACGATGCCACCCAGGAGTATAAGGTGGGCAGTTCAACCTGACCCCCCCATATGTGGGGGAAAGGGAGGGAAGCAAAGGAGAGTGAGATACTCTCCCTGTAGAGAGAACTGAACACTGCACAGGGCAAGGTTGTGTCTGGTCCTTCTGTTGGTTGCCTCAGAGCTACCCACATAGGACACAGTGTTCTGGAACTATAGGCCTGAGACTCAAGTGGGATGGGCTGGACTTAGAGCGAGCTGTGTTTATAGCAGAGAAGAGAGCTTGGGATTTTGTCTCAGTGTCTGGTCAGTTGTCCTCTACATGAAAAGCAGTGGTGAGAGATACCCAAACTTTTTTTTTTTTTTTTTCAAATTTTTGCCACACATTTGAGTCTTGTGGATTAATATTGGTACGTGTGGTCTTGGAATATCATGTTTTTCATGAATGAATGAAATTTCAGGAAAAAGAGTAAGCCTAAGAAAAACTAAGAAGTAGTCTGCTTTCTTTGTCCTGCCACCTTGTTTAGAATGCTGACGGTTTTCCCGTTGGGGCTGGGGCTAGGTGACATCAGCTCTTTCTCAGATAGTGACTGCTGGTTTAATTTGTTGCTGGAACATAGGATATGTGTTTGAGTAATAGAAACTAATTTTTTTTTAAGATTTATTTATTTTACGTGAAAGACTTAACATGTGGATGGAAGATCTTTCTGTCTCTCACAATAAAAAATCAGGGTTGCCGAGAGAGATCTTCTACCCACTGGTTCACTCCACACGTGGCTGCAGTGACTGTGAAGAACCTAGGCGTTTTCTGCCTTTTGTGATTCCGCCTTAATGGCTTGGCTGGGGGCTGTGTGAACCTCAGACCTGATAGTCTACGTGACACCCGGCAGGACACCTGGCAGTTCACGTAGGCAGACCACTCCTCAGGAAGGAGGTACCTGGTGTTTGATAAGATTCACAGCCCAATAGCTCATCGATTTGTACTTTTTGAAAATTGCTTGTTTCAAACCCACCAACAGAAGCCTACTAAATCATGACTGTATAATTAATAGCTTGAAATGTATAAGAACTGGGGGGCTTGGGCTCTGGGCCTTTTTCCCTTGGCGTCTGGCTCGCGTTTCTTTGGTCCTCCTTGTGGATCCTTGCAGCCTCTGCTGTGGCTGCCCCTCCCCCGCCCAGCCATGCTGGGCTGGGGGAGGTCGCTGGGTTACCTAGGCTAACCTGAATAAACCACCTTTTTGCCTCAGCTCCGACTTCAGACTTGATGATTATCTGGGGGTTTCAAAAACCGGCACAACAACTGGAGCCAGGAGCCTAAGGCCTTGGACCATCCTCTGCTGATTTTCTAGGCCATAAGCAGAGAGCTGAATCAGGATGAGCACCTGGAGCTAGGAACCAGCACCTGTATGAGCTGCTGGCACCACAGGCAGAGGATTATCTACAGTGCTGGCTATGGAACCAGAGAGGGGCGGGTTGTTTATTTTTTTAATGTCTTAGCACTTGTCTTTCTCTCTCTCTCTCTTTTTAAGAGAAAAAGAGACAGAGAGGTCTTCCATCTACTGGTTCACTTCCTAAATGGCCACAATGGCTGCAGCTGGATTGATCTGTGAAGTCAGGAGTCTGGAACATTTTTTAGGTTTCCGGTATGGGTGCAGGGGCCCAAGACCTAGTGCCGCAAACAAGGCGCTGAATTAGAAGTGGAGCAGCTGGGATATGAACTGCTACGCATATGGAATGCTGGTGCTTGGAGGACTTTCCTTATGTTAATGAAATATTAGAAACAAGATTTAATGTAATTTACAGTATAAGTAATTAAGCTTCTGCTAGCTCTGTAGGTATAGTTGGGTGCGGAGGATAGGTTTAAAGGAGGATATCAGCAAGCAGAAGGTGACAGGTGGAACCTGTCTTAGTTCAGCGAGGAGAAAATTACATAATGTGACCTGGAATGATGATGGAGAAAAGTTGGTGGCCGGAGGAATGACCAGTAGGAAGGTGACACCCAAGTGACAAGTGAGGAGAAAGGAGTTGGATCACAAGATGGACCATGGATAGGAGGCAAACATGGTTTAACACAAATGAGTCAGCCTCTGAACAGTACCTGACAGCAAATATTACCCCTCTCTCTCATCCTCCCTGCCCCTCAGGAAAAGCTGCAGAAGTGCCTGGAGCCATTGGAGCAGAAGCTGCAGGAAATTACCCGCTGCAAATCCTTGGAGGAGAAGAAGCCAGCCCAGCTCAAGGTAAAGGCCTGTGGGCTGCTCTGCAGGCCATCTGCCTACAAGGAAACTGAGCACACAGTGTGTAATCCACAAGGTCTGGTCCATTGGCAGAAGACTGCTTGCTCTCTTAAACTGGTAGCATTTTACAAGGCTTGACTGTAATTTTATTAAACATTGTACTTAAATTGCTCATCAGGAATTAAATATTAGGGAGTGAGATAAAGGGCAGATAGCATCTTGCCCCTGGTGAACTGAGGAGTCCATAGTTCATGCCCACTGATTCTATTTTGTTTCTTTTTTAAAGCAAGGAAAGAGGCTGCCTGCTAAAAACGCAGGCACAGGAGTAAAGGGACTGAGCAGAGGAAATCTTAGAAAGTTCGAGAAGCGGCGGGCGGGAGGGAGTACCCAAGAGCAACCAGAAGAGAACTCGCCAGTAACATCAGGCCCCCATTCTTGTAACTAGAGGTCCAATATGTTACCTGATGTTGATTCATTTCTTGGAATGTCTCCCCATGATAGGATCCTAACCATCTCTAGGCGAAAGGATAGTCACTTTCCCTGCAGCCTTTCCTAGTCCTTCAAAGTAACTTTTTTTTCTTTTACATAATTGTGCATCTCTTTAGTTGCATTGCTCACTCAGTAACCATGTTAACAGGAAAAGCATAACTATTATTGAGTCCAATGCATTGATTTGTTGTATGTCCTTGACATTTCAAACTTACAGGGTGGTTCTTGGTCTTAGGATGTTGCCCAGATTAAACAGGCCATACTCTGGGACAAGTGGGACAAAGAGCAAACTACAAGACAAAGGGCAAACTTAGATAGCCTATAATGTCAGTATTATTACCGTAGTACACAGGAGGAAATGGAACTTAGATAATTGTCTGGTCCAAGATCATCCAGCCAATAAGTGGCAAAACCAGGGATACTGGTTCTTGTTGAATTGGTAAATATTTATTCAGCTCCTGAAAAAGGCCAAACCCTATCTTTGGCACCAGAACCATGATAAACAAAATGCGGTCCTTGCCCTCCTTGAGCTTAAAGTCAATGGAGAAAGTAGAAAATGACATTGTACAGAAAGCACAGCTCTAAGTTCATAGGACAGAAATGTGACCTAATCAAATGGTTCCAGAAGAAATGATGAGTATTCAGACTTGACATTTAGGGATCGCTGAACATGAGGGTGCTTTTTTTGTTTTGTTTTGCTTTGCTTTGTTTTACAGCAAATGACATTTGGTTATAAAAGTGAGCTTTAAAAATAGTTCTTTGTTCTTTTGGAGGACTCCTGAGAAAATTAAAACATATAAAACAGAAGCTTATTCCCAGTCATTAAATGTCCTCTTCCTGCTGATCACCTTAAAGGTAAAAGATGGATACAGAAATAAGTCTTTTAATACCTCATAAATACTTCAACAAGAGCTATAGTGTTTTTTATTTTAAACCTATTTAAGCTTTTAAAATTTATTTAGAAGAGTGACAGAGGAAGGAAGAGAGCTTTTCCATCCCCTGGCTCACTCCCCGAATGCTCACCAGAGCTGGGGGATGGACTGGTGGCAGGAACTCCATCTGGGTCTCCTGCCCAAGTCCTTAGGCCATCATCTGCTCTGTGCTAGGATTGCACACTAGCAGAGCTCAGGACCAGAAGCAGAGGAAGGTGATTTTACTGCTGACGCTCCCCTGTAAGACACTGGTTGCTCAAGTAAATTCTCTGAGTGCAACCCTGCACAGCCCCTTAGCATTTTCCAAATGACAAATTATCATCTCAGTGGTCTTTGATACCACCACCCACATTCCTTTGGTACCATTTAAATTCTTCTGCCTCCTCCCTCCTCCCACCTGCAGTTATCCTCAGTACTTCTTTTCTAAAGTTTGTCACTGTCTTTGGAGCCCCTGCACCCACATGGTAGAAGCAGAAGCAGCTCAGCTCTGGCCATTTCAGCCATTTGGGAAGTGAACTAATGGATGGAAGATTTCTCCCTCTCTGTAAATCTGCCTTTCACATAAAAGTAAGTACATCTTAAAAATAAATGAACATACTAAATTTTTTTAAGTTTATTTTTATTACAAAGTCAGAGAGGAAGATCGTCCATCTGCTGATTCACTCCTCAAGCAGCCATAGTGGCTGGAGCTGAGCTAATCCAAAACCAGCAGCCCAGAGCCTCTTCCGGGTCTCCCATGTGGGTGCAGGGTCCCGAGGGTTGGGGCTGTCCTGCTTTCCCAGGCCACAAGCAAGAAGCAAGATGGGACATGAGATCACCAGGATACAAACCAACACCCATATTGAATCCCAGCGCATGCAAGACACTTTAGTCACTAGGATACCACATCAGGTCAAAATTTTTTTTAAGATTTATTTATTTTTATTGCAAAGTCAGATATACAGAGAGGAGGAGGAGAGAGAGAGGAAAATCTTCCGTCCGATGATTCACTCCCGAAGTGACTGCAAATCGGACTTTAGCCACTAATCCACCACACTGGGCACCCAATACCTTAAATTTATTTAAAAAAAAAAAAACATAAGATTGTTATTAACTGCTGCAATTAAAATTATACATAAATAACCTTTCTGCATAATTTTGAAGAGACTGCCAAGTTCTAGTATAGTGTTCCTAGTGTTCCACAGTGTAAAAATAACTGACAATAAAATCTAGATTATAAATATTTGGGATGTGACCACCCCAGGAAATCCTATAGTATAGGTATATACTTGAACCTGTTTTTGACATCATCAATGTAATAAACATATCTGGACAGGTGAGGTAGTGTTGTTGCAGGATGCGTAATGCGAAAATGTGGCAGCAACCTCATTTCTCATCTCACACAAAAGAAGAATTTTCATGCAAACTCTAGTTTGCAAAGTAGGATTTATTTAGGAAAAAGGAGGAAGGAAAGAAGTTAATGGTGTCTTTTATGCACCATCTCTGGGGAGTTACTCAAAGGACAAAATCCTTCACAATGGCATCTGGTTTCAAATCAAACCCCAAAGGGTGGGACTGGTTAATTTCCTCTTCCCACTGAGCCACTATCTCTTTGACAGTGACCTAGAGATGAGATTAGTTAGGTCACTTCTTGCTTTTTTACAACTCTGAGATGGCTAATTGATATGTTAATTCTGCCCCTTTGTTCTCCCTCAAGGGGAGAAAGTGCTCTCAGAAAGTACATTTTGAGAAATAATTTCACCAGGGACTAAAAACTGCCTACTATCCCATCTGGTCACAGTGTGACCAGATCCTCAAGTAGCCAAGCTGTGGGTGTCTTGACGTTTCAAAATAGTAATGTTTTGTAAAGTTCTTACAAAAGCAATAACATTCTTATTTTACTGAGTTTTATTTAGGGGCCATTTCCAAATAAAACTTCAATACACTGGACCTGGCACAGTAGCCTAGTGGCTAACGTTCTCGCCTTGAACATGCTGGGATCCCATATGGGCACTAGTTCTGATTCCAGCAACTCCACTTCCCATCCAGCTCCCTGTTTGTGGTCTGGAAAGCAGCCAAGGACAGACCAAAGCCTTGGGACTCTGCACCTGCATGGGAGACCTGGAGGAGGCTCTGCGCTCCTGGCTTCGGACTGTCTCAGCTCTGGCTGTTAGAGCCACTTGGGGAGTGAATCATAGGACGGAAGATCTTCCTCTCTCTCCTCCTCTCTGTATATCTGACTTTGCAATAAAAATAATTCTTAAAAAAAAAAAAACTCCAGTACACTAAAACCATGAAAGAATTAGCCTGTGTTTACATATAAAAATGACGTTCAAACCAGGCCCCTTTTTTTTCAACACAGAAAAGGTTTCCATTGCAGAACAATGGCCAATGGTGCAGGACAGGTGCATGGTTGCCTCATACACCGGAGGGGTGCTAGCATCCTTGCCGGAAGTGCCTTCCCCCCACACGCACACACCATGCAGGCCTTGTGATGCTACGGGTTTGGTTGCTTGCTGGAACATCCCATAGCAGAGTGGCTGGCTAGCTTTCTGCCGATGTTTCTGGGAAGGAGCAGGTGATAAGTACATGGCTTCCTGCTACTCTGGTGGGAGACCCTGACTTCTGGCTTGGCCTGGCTGTTACGTTTTGAGAGTGAACCAGCAGATGGGTGCTCTGACTCTCCCTCTTTTTAAGATTGACTTATTCTTATTGGAAAGTCAGATATACAGAGAGGACGATCTTCCACATGCTGATTCACTCCCCAAGTGGCCGCAACGGCTGGTGCTGAGATGATCCAAAGCCAGGAGCTGCTTCTGGGTCTTGCACATCGGTGTTTGGCCATTCTCGACCACTTTCCCAGGCCACAAGCAGGGAGCTGGATAGGAACCAACACCCATATGGGATTCCGACGTGTGCAAGGCGAGGATTTTAGCCACTGGGCTACCACACTGTGCCCAAATCCCATACTTCTACCCATGTCACCCGTAAATTCTCACATGCTCACACATGTATGACCTAAGGCAATATTTTTCTTCAAAATAAAAGTCAATATAAATTCTATTGTAAGTGTTGCACCTGAGAAGGTAGCAGTGGAAAGGAAAGCAGCAAATAGCCCTGGAACCTCACAGCATTTGTCAACCCCTGTAGGGAGCTAGGCTGAAGGCCTTGAATTCCAGGCTTGTCCAGCCCACCCTGGCTTTCATCTCTGTTCTCCTTTCACCCCCAGCATGGCCTTCCAGGCTCTGGTCTCTTCCTCTTTCCACCGGCCCAATATTGTTTCTCACTTTGCTTCACTCTCTGGTTGGTGTATCCTCATCAGTCACATGAGTCTTGGAGTTTGTTCCATGGGTGCCCACACAGAAGAGAGAGAGAGGGCTAATAATCCTTACAAAGTGCAGTGGCCAATGTTAGAGTACAGTATCAAATTTCAGGAATGCCATAGGTATATGTGCCAGAAGTCTGATTCAGACTTCAGGCGACTAATTCACTAGCAAACTTTCGCAGCTTGTTCCAGGACACATTCTCTGAAGTGACTTGAAACTATTTAATCTGTTTAGCCCCGAAATCCACATACGCTTCATAACAAGTCATTAAACTTACTGATTCTATTCTTATGATTGATTCTCTGATTTTTAACCCTTATGTGCCTTGTAATATACAAATGGTGACAGGTTAGCTTTCTAGTGTCTGTACTTCCCTTTTCTCAACAGATTGCATTGACTAGAACCCAGATATCAGGAATAACAGAAATGTCTGTAATGATGCCATAATGGTAGGTGACATCACACCGAGTACTTATTACATGAGTATATTTTATTAAGACATAAAAGCATAACTGCTTTAGAAGTTAATGAAGAAAATAAAAATAGTTTTACATGTTGATTTTTTTTTTTCTTATACTCCCCCATCTTTACTATCAAGCTTTTCTGTGGTAGTGACAGAGATACTGCCATTTTTTACAGCAGGAAGTTCTCCTAAAGAGGATGAGTGTTATCCTGTGAGCAAATGTCAGTGACATTGAAGTCTGTTGACATGCACACGTGGTGGACCAGGAGCCTTCCTCTGCCCCGCCGGCTATGCTGATGTGCCGTCTTCCCTGTCTCCTTAGAGACTAGTGGAGAGTCGCCGGCAGCAGATCCTGCGGGAGTTTGAAGAGCTTCACAGGCGGCTGGATGAGGAGCAGCAGATGTTGTTCTCACGGCTGGAGGAGGAGGAACAGGACATCCTACAGCGACTGCGAGAAAACGCAGCTCACCTCGGGGACAGGCGCCGGGACCTCGCCCACCTAGCTGCAGAGGTGGAGGGCAAGTGCTTACAGTCGGGCTTCGAGATGCTTAAGGTTCGACAGTTGCCCCTGCGTAGCCCCTCAGATCCTGCACGGTCTAGCTTCGCACAGCCAGTGTGTGAGCCTGGGGTGGTCGCTGTGGTGCTCAGCTCCCCTAGGCTCCAGGCCTTCCTTCCAGATACACCCAGAAGGATCCTTGCCTACAGGAAGTCTTCTGATTTCTTCCATCCCTTTCCAACCATATTATGTCCTGTCAATAATTATGTACTTCATTTGTGCCCAGAGGGTGGGAAGTCATTTTTTTTAAGACTTGCATTTTGAATTTCCTAGAGCTAAAAAAGAATAGAAACAGCTTAAATAACACGTGAAGTTATGTGTGAATAATACATTGCTTTGATATATGAATGATGCCTCTGAAATATTTGAGGGTGGTCTTGTTCTCTTAAACAGATGAATGACACTAGGAAGGCTATAGGGAACATACATCTTAAGGATCAGATTACCAGCAATTGAATCCTGAAAACTTCATTTATTTGCGTGTTATGTTGCTCAGTATTTATTCCTATGTCCTTTCATGTATGTGTCTCCTGCTTTCCACATTAAACTGGAAAATCTTTAAGGGGCAGAGATTTGTCGTCTTTGTCTCCTGGACCCCAGGTATTCTCAAATGAGGATTGGCACACAGTTACTAATGTTCGTTAGCCAGTACTGGCAAGGAGGTGTCAGACCACATCAGGAAACAGTGGTTTGTTTTAACCTGCCAATCTGAATCATGTGACCCAAGAACCTTAGAGAGACAGATCTGTGGCCGGCACTTGGGAGACAGAGTAAACAGCAGACACAGTCCCTGTCCCTTACAGGGAGCTCCTTGTGTTCCTGAGAAGCAAAGATAAACACTTAAGAAACCTTTTGGAAGTGATTCCAAATATCAAGCTTCATGATGACCGAAAGTTGAAAAGGGGGATCGGGTTGGGGGGCACCGTCCACTACCTCTGGAGCTCCCCTTGCATTGTAACCCTCAGCTTGTTCTGTGTCTCCTTGCTGGATCTGGAGCTCTTGGGAGAAGGGAAAACCTGTAGCCTTCAGCACCCCTGAGCACCAGAACCAATATTGCTTTCTTTTCTCCTTCCCTCTAGGATGTCAAAAGTACCCTGGAAAAGTAAGTGATCCTTATGTCTCTTTGAGTGAGTTAGGGCTTGGCTTATAGACTGAGGGTCCTGCACGGAGTCGGGGGAGTCAGGAAGGGAAAGCCATGCAGTCTGATAGGATGTGGGAGGTCACTTGCATCAAGAAACCAGCGTGAGAACAAAATCATCAGAACCAATAATCTCCCTTACATTTTCCCCTTTGAACATCAGGACTTCTCAGTAAAACAGGTGATAATATAGAACCAGTTCCTTGTGCCTGTTGGTAAAAGTGTGTCCCAACAAGATGGCAGGAGGAAGGGATTGGATTGGTAGGACAGGCACTTTCCCATTGATCTGAAATATGCTACACCCCTCTCCATACCCACTGCTGGTCTTGTCAAGTACCTATCCTGGGAAGTGGTGGCTTTCTGTAATTTGGTGGAAGGAAGCACTTGTCTTCAGGGAGGAGGGAGAAAATGGGAGGACATAGAGTTTTAATTTCTTCCTAAAGATGACAGCATCTGGACAGGTAATTGGCTTCAGCTTGGCCTAACCTTACCCTTGATCTCCCATCCCTCCTAGATGTGAGAAGGTGAAGACCATGGAGGTGACATCAGTATCTATAGAGCTGGAAAAGAACTTCAGCAATTTTCCCCGACAGTATTTTGCCCTAAGGAAAATCCTTAAACAACTAATAGGTGAGTTCTTCCCAAAAGGAAATTAGCAGAGGGAAATACCACAGAGAACAAAATCTTCAGACTCTAACTTATATGGGCTTCAGTTACCCCACCTCTCTTGACACACACACCACACTTTCGCTCAATTTTCAAGGTCACCCTGAGTCACAGAACTCAAAATGAGAAGAAGCCTAATGTATCACCTGTTCTTAGATCCATACTTTTCTAAATAGGAACCCAGAAAGGTTAAATATAGGTTTACCCAAGCTATTAGGTAGGGTCACCATATAATTTACTCTGTCTAAATTAGGACAAAGTTAAGCATCAACAGAAGTGTCATTAATATTTATGCAGGGAAAATGGTCATAAATCAGGACAGTTCCTAGAAAATACACACAGGGTCATCCTGTGGCTGGACCCCAGTGCTGTCTTGCTCAGTATCCCTAACACTTTGCTCTCTGGCCCACAGACCATGCCTTGCACTTCTCTTTGCTATGAACTAAATGATGATGTCGGAGGGAGATAGGAAGGGTGGGAACCTAGACTGCCTGTCCCTGCAGGGTCAGAGGTCATTATTCCTTTATCTGAGGGTTAGGATGAGAAGGCTCATCCCTTCCCTTGGGTGCCACTGTGGTCTGAGGGTTAACCCTTCAGGGACCAGGCTCTCTGAGGGTAGGCGGGGACAGTGAGGCAGGGAACTTTAGCTATTCCCATCCTCATCTAGCTCCCCACTCTGGCTTCTCCCGCCAGCGGATGTAACCCTGGACCCCGAGACTGCTCATCCTAACCTAGTCCTCTCTGAAGATCGTAAGAGTGTCAAGTTCGTGGAGACAAGACTCCGGGACCTCCCAGATACGCCACGGCGCTTCACCTTCTACCCCTGTGTCCTGGCTACTGAAGGTTTCACCTCAGGTCGACACTACTGGGAGGTGGAGGTGGGCGACAAGACCCACTGGGCAGTGGGCGTGTGCCGGGACTCCGTGAGCCGGAAGGGCGAGCTGACTCCACTCCCTGAGACTGGCTACTGGCGGGTACGGCTGTGGAATGGGGACAAATATGCAGCCACCACCACCCCATTCACCCCGTTGCATATCAAAGTGAAACCCAAGCGGGTGGGCATATTCCTAGACTATGAGGCTGGCACGCTGTCTTTTTATAACGTCACAGACCGCTCTCATATCTACACCTTCACTGACACTTTCACAGAGAAACTCTGGCCACTCTTCTATCCAGGTATCCGGGCCGGTCGGAAGAATGCTGCACCACTCACCATCAGGCCTCCAACGGATTGGGAGTGACCGGGTGGGACATAGGAAAAATTGGGATAAGGCAGGGTCCAGAATACAGGCCTTCCTTCCCATGGCCTGCAGGAGTGGCTTCATGTCAGCCTGGTTGTTAGTCGGGAATCATCTCAGAGAAACTCTGGTTTCCTTGATGGTTTGTGGGCAGGAGTGGATATGAATGGGCTGCAGTGAAAGCACAGCTGTGCGTCCCTCCTAACTGTTAAGATGGGGAGCTGGTTCCCAGGGGCTCGTGTCCCCCCGGGAGTCTACCAGGTTTTCTGTTGCACAGGAATGGTTTGGCAAGGAAGGAGGGTCTTTTACTTTAAAAAAAAAAAAAAAGTCCAGGGGAGGCGCCAACTTAAACTGGAGAAAGAAGCCAGAACACCACAAGATCCTCCAGGGGGCGCTTCAACCCAGGATAGTTTTGTTTCCTGAGGAAGGTGACAGGTCTGTGCACCTCTAGATTGAAGAGAAGATGAGTGACAGCTGCTGTCACACATCTGAAAATTGAGTTGTTTCAAGGGCGAAGAATAGTAAAATGAAGGTCAGGACAGAAGGCATGAAAAGTCCTAGAGACAAATGAAAGGGTAGAGGATTTCTTCACCTTCTGATCCCAGGGTGGGTTTGTGATTATGAAGAAGAATGGCCAAAAAACTAGAAATGTAGGGGAAAAGGGCAGATGAAAAGACAGGAGGCCCCAGATCCCCACCTCACCTGCCAGCAGAGCGGGCTGCTTGCTGGCTCCCTCGTGGTGGGGTGGCTTGGCTCCAAGAAGTCACTCCCCCTGCTGCTCCCCAGAAGCAGGTTGGAAGAGCTGGTGAGACACATCTACCCTTTCCCAGTTTTCCCCAAGGGGACAGGGCAAGGAGCAAGTCAGGCATCAGAGAAGGGGGATCAAAAATGGCAGCAGGCAGTGTGCAAGGTAGCGGAGTCTCTCACCCTGAGGACAGGGTAAAGGAGGGTGGTATGTGTGTGTGTGTGTGTGAGTAAGAAAGGGCCAGAAAAGTGACCTCCTTCAGCCTTTGTGCATCTGGCCTGGTGTTGCTGTTCATACGAGGCAGGCTTTGGCTTGTTTGTCACCATCATCTTTTCACCCTTCACCATTCCCCTTTTCAGAGAATGTTAAAGTCATTTTTAATGTTAGGCCAAACTAAACAACCGGTAGGGTGCATAAAAAAGGGTCAGCACTGCATGCCAAGCCAAACTCCAGCATCTCGGGTGACCTGCTGCTTGTGTGTTGATCTCCAAAGAAGACCAGGACAAGCAACTGCAGCTCTCCAAGGGCATTTGTTCTTCCTACCACCTCAGCAGGACCACGTCCGCACTCCTCCTCTTACCTTTGTGCCTTGACTATGGTTCTTTGTGGCAAGATACTTTGGTTGGTTTAAAAAAAAAAATTATATGGAACAAAGGATCCACTGAAGCGATCCCTGTGTCATGTGGTGCTTTGGCAGTGGCCTCACACCCATGCGTGAGAACCACCAAGCTCTGGAGACGTGTTCCCCAGCTTTCCCTCTGTGTGTGATCATGGTCTGCATGGGTGTTAACCTCTGGATCTGAGGACCCTGAAACAACCCCGCCCATGCATCAGCTGATTTCTCTCCTCTGAGCTAGAGACTGGTTCTCTGCTGCCTGCCACGAGGGGTCCCAGAGGAGAGAGAAAACCTTCCCACCTCCCAGAGCTCATGCATGCACTGCCCCTAGGGTTGGCCACCTCTGGACTTGTGTCCTCAAGAACCAGTGGCTCCTTGAATCAGAAGTAAACAGGAAGGCAGAACAAATGGAAGATGGAAAGAGGTCAGGGCGTGGGCTGGGGTGTAGTTTCAGGAGCAGGGGATGCTACTGACAGATGTCTGTTATGTGTCAAAACTAGTAATGGGAAACAAATGAGGATGACTTAGTGCATGACTCACTTTGTGTGGGTGGGTAGCCCCCACAAAGTGCTCCCTGAGTAGATGGAAAAGTGAGAGTAAACTGTTTTCTGAGGGGCGAGAGGCATTTCCTCCGCAGCACCCCACGGTTTTTGCCCCTTCCACAAGCCCGAGGGGCACTTAGTTTTGTCAACACACACGGCCGCCCCATCCTTTAGCTTCGGAGACTGATGCGGAAGGTCTAGCTGGACATACCTCACACACAACTTCCGCAATCTGCATTTAAAGACACCAAACCTGCTCATAGGTTCATGGAAGGATTGGAGAGCAGGGGAAAGGGTTTTATACAAGATTTTGAGAGGCGGCAGTGGGTGGATTGTCCCGACCCGGGACTACATTTCCCAGAATGCCTTACGCGTGCGCGGTGGGCGGAGCCGGAGGCTGTCCCAGCCGGAGACGCCGGGCGCTGTGTGGATGGCGGGGCCAGTGAAGGACCGCGAGGCCTTTCAGAGGCTTAACTTCCTTTACCAGGTGAGTCCGGGCTAGGACGTGCAGAGGGAAGCGGTCCCGGTGCCTTCGGGCTGGCAGTGACCCCTCCCCGCCGTCCCCAGGCCGCCCACTGTGTGCTCGCGCAGGACCCGGAGAACCAGGCGCTGGCGAGGTTTTACTGCCACACGGAGCGGACCATCGCGAAACGGCTGGTCCTGCGGCGGTGAGACGGGGCGGGCGGCGGCGGGTGTGGGACGGGGAGGCCAGGCAGGCGTAGGGACCCGCCTTCCCCTCTGCCCCCAGGGACCCCTCGGTGAAGAGGACCCTGTGTCGCGGCTGCTCTTCCCTGCTCGTCCCGGGCCTCACCTGCACGCAGCGCCAGAGACGTGAGTACTCCCTGCAGGATGGCGGCCTCTCCCGAGCGTCGTAGCGTACGCTCCACTGCCACTTGTTCACCCAAGAAGTTGTTTTCCAAAATCTGTCAGGTGCTAGACTTAGGGGAATGACAGTCTGATGAGATTGAAGGTGGAAACAGTTAAAACAGTGTAGCAGCCCGAAAGCAGGATGCTAACCTGCGGTGGTGGTGGTGAGATTCCTGATAGACAAGGAGATTCCCGGCAAGGGTGAGGTGTTTGTCGCCTTGAGACCTTGGTCTCTGCTAATGCAAGCTCTCTACTCCTTCCTGCCACTGGCATCCCAGGCCGCAAGGGGCAGCGCTGGACAGTGCAGACCTGCCTGACATGCCAGCGCAGCCAGCGGTTCCTCAACGATCCCAGGCACGTGCTCTGGGGAGACCGGCCTGAGGCGCAGCTGGGGAACCAAGCAGGTAGGGGGAGGTAGTGAAGAAAATGGGGGCAGCCAGGAGGAGGTGGGGGTGGCAGTTGGAGGACTGCAGGGGACACTTGGGTGGGCTCTGCTGGGTGTCAGGAGCCACAGGAACTGATGCTGCCTGCCGCTCTCCTCAGATCCCAAACCTGCACAGCCTCTGCCAGACACGGCCAACTCCATTCCGGCCCCGCTGCCGGAGGAGGCAGCGCAGACCCAGAGCTCCAGGCCCCAGTGATGCGTTACCCCTGAAGCCCAAGTAAATACATTTAACTCTGTTTTGCTTTGTGTGATCCTGTGCTGTGCAATAACCGTTTCCTTTCTTTTTAAAAGATTTATTTTTTTTGAAAGGCAGATGACAGAAGGAAAGAGAAAAAGATCTTCTATTTGCTGATCCATTCTCCAAATGGCCACAGCAGTTAGTGTTGTGGTTTAGATTTGGGCCAGATATTTATTTCCTAGGTTCTTTGCTTTTATCTCATTTACTGTAACCATTTGAGAAATTATTTTCCAGAATACAATAAAATCTAGAAAATGCAAATCACTTGTTCAAGAAAGTCAGGGTAGGAAACATTAACTGAACAAGGAAACTTGGCTATGAGGTGTCAGGGCTAGAATTCAGTTCTGGGCAGTTTTATTCTAGATCTCACTTTTTGCCCCTTTGCATTATTGGCCAGGATTGCCTGAAGCAGCCTTCTCTGGCCAAACAGGTCCTTTAGCATAGTGAACATGAAATGCATGACTAATGGAGGATTGGGATTGGGAGACTAGAGGAAAGAGAATGTATTGAGAGTGTGGCTGCTGACTGCATTTGAGATCAGAATGCTGGGGGCCAGGGTGTGGTGCATCAGGTTGTTCTGCCACTTACCAGTTTGAGTCCCACCTGTCCCACTTCCAGTCCAGTTCCAGCTATGCCCCTAGAAAGGCAGCAAACAATGGCTCAGGTACTTGGGCCACTTTCACCTGGGTGGGACCCCCAGATGGAGTTCCTTTCGCCTGGCTTCAGCCTAGCCCAGCCCTAACTCAACCCTGAACAGCCATCGCCAAGCGACCCAGTCAACGGATATCTGTCTCTTCCTGCATTCCTCTTTCTTCATCGTTCTGCCTTTTTAATGGATAAATCATTTTAAAATTCACCATTCTATGGCCATTAATCCCTGATTTCCCACTGTATGCTATATCTACTCCCAAGCCCTAGAATATGTAGATCTATCCATGATTCTGAAAGGTATGACCTGGCATCAGCTGTTAACTTTTTTTTAAAGGTTTATTTATTTCTACAACAAAGTTAGGTATACAGAGAGGCGGAGAGACAGAGGAAGATCCTCCGTCCGATGACCCACTCCACAAGTGACCGCAACAGCCAGCGGTGCACTGATCCAAAGTCGGGAACCAGGAACCTCCTCCAGGTATCCCACGCGGGTGCAGGGTCCCAAGGCCTTATGCCATCCCCATCTGCCTTCCCAGGCCACAAGCAGGGAGTTGGATGGGAAGTGAAGCTGCCAGGACTAGAACTGGCGCCCACATGGGATCCCAGCATGCCCAAGGCAAGGACTTTAGCCACTAGGCCATGCCGCCGGGCCCAGCTTTGTGAATGGTATTCTTTTGCAGAAAACTTCCCATGGGTGAAAATTCTAAATTTAAATTGGCATATTCAGTGTTCGGCGCAATAATGTAGCAGCTAAAGCCCTCACCTTGAATGCATTAGAATCCCATATGGGCACCAGTTCTAATCCCAGCAGCCCTGCTTCCCATCCAGCTCCCTGTTTGTGCCCTGGGAAAGCAGTTGAGGACGGCCCAAAGCCTTTGGACCCTGCACCCACACGGGGGACTTGGAAGAAGCTCCTGGCTCCTGGCTTTGGATTGGCTCAGCTCCAACCGTTGTGGCCACTTGTGGAGTGAACCATCAGAAGGAAGATCTTCCTCTCTGTCTCTCCTCCTCTCTATATATCTGCCTTTCCAGTAAAGGTAAGTAAATCTTTAAAAAGGACAAACAATAATTGGTATATTCAGGGCCAGCTTAACGGTGTGGAAGGCTACGCCCATCCTCTACCCTACAGGACCAGAATCCCTTATGGGTAGCAGTTTATGTCTCAGCTGTTCTACTTCCAATTCAGCTTTCTGTTTACGATTAACAAAGCAGTGAAGCAGAATTTTTTGGTGGGCTCATGCACCCATGTGGAAGAACTCCTGGCCTCTGACTTCAGAGCAACTTATCTCTGGCCATTGCAGCAGTTTGGGGAGTGAATCGGATGGAAGACATCTCTCACTTTCTTTCCTCTTGCTGCAGTGTCCCGGCCCGCAGAACTTCAACTCAGGAATCAAACCTATAGGACAAAGGAATGGGGACAGGAGGCAAGAGAGAAACGACCACAAGACAGGATTCTGATCAAGTGGCAGTTTATTGCTTTCATACACTAGCTCTTATGTTCAATGGGGGAGAGCGTCTGACAGACATTCAACACGATGTCATTTTGACAAGGCAACTCAAGCAGGATACTTGCGGTTGGCACACAGAAATTTGGCATGCTAACTAGGCCAGCACAGACTGATCTTAACAGTTCTGAGAATCCATTGTCATGGGGACCAAGCACCTATGTCTCAGGGCATAACCATCTCAAAACCACAAAACTTGTAAAGATATTTAGCTTAACTCACACTCTATATCTTAACAACTCTCTAGTCTAATTCTTAAACTGCAAACTTACTTTAATTCATAATCTAACTCTCTATTCTAAATCTTAACTACAAACTTAATCTAATTCATAATCTTATTCTAGCTTATCTATATCTTGATCAATGGGGTTCAATGGATTAAGGCAGTTACTGGGTGCAGCTCTAGAGGGCAGTCTCCCACACTGCAGAATCTACTTTTCCAATAAAAATTAATGAATCTTTAAAAATATAAATAAGATAAATTCATGCAATCAGTACTGATAAGACTAGTACATATGAAGTACTGAAAATTCCAGAAATAAGTTGGAACTGTAACACTGAAAGACCAATAGAATACAGAGCACTCTCTTGGTAGAAATCTAAATTCCTGTGCTGAAATATACAAAGCAAAACCAAAATGGACTACATATTGAGTGAAATATCTATCTTGAAAAATTTTTTTAAGATTTATTGGAAAGTCAGATACACAGAGAGGCGGAGAGACAGGGAGGAAGATCTTGCATCCAATGATTACTACCCAAGCACCTGCAATGGCTGGGGCTGAGCCAGTCTGAAGCCAGGAGCCTCTTCTGGGTCTCCCACGTGGGTGCAAGGTCCCAAGGCTTTGGGCCATCCTCTGCTGCTCTCCCAGGCTACAAGTAGGGAGCTGAATGGGAAACAGGGCTGCCAGGGCTAGAACCAGTCCCCATATGAGATCCCGGCATGTTCAAGATGAGGACATTAACCACTACGCCATCGCACCAGGCTCATAGACATTCTCATTTTTTTTTTATTTAAACAAGCAATTTATGCATTTGCTTCAAGTTTAATTTTTTTTTGTTAACATCCTCAGAATGTCACCTTTTGCTTGAAGTAAATATATATATATATATTTATATATATATATTTATATATATATTTATATATATATATTTATATATATATAAATATATATATATATTTTAGTTTGTTTGTTTCAATCTTATTTGAAAGGCAAACACAGAAATCTTCCACCCACTGGTTAACTCCCCAGATAACCCTCAACTTCCAGGAAGAGCTTGGGCCCAACCCAGCAGTACTGAATTCAGTCTAGCCTCTCACATGGGGGCAGTACATTGCTGTGCCTAAACAGTTAAAAGCAGCTGACTTGGAAGCAGGGAAGCAGAAAGGCCTAAATGCTTGGGCCCCTGAACCCATACAGGTGACCTGGAAGAAGCTCCAGGTTCCTGGCTTCTCACTAGCGCAGCACTGGTCATTGGGGTTGTTTGAGGTGTGAACCTGTAACTCTTGTCTTTCAAATGGATAAACATCAGTCTTTAAAAGGGAAAGAAAAGGACCCAGCATGGTGGCCTGGCAGCTAAAGTTCTCGCCTTGTATGCGTCAGGATTCCATATGGGCACCAGTTCTAATCCTGGCAGCTCCACTTCCATCTAGCTCCTTGCTTGTGGCCTGGGAAAGCAGTCGAGGATGGCCCAGAGCCTTGAGATCCTGCACCTGCATGGGAGACCTGGAGGAAGTTCCTGGCTCCTGGCTCTGGATCGGCATAGCATTGGCCATTGTGGTCACTTGGGGAGTGAATCATTGGACAGAAGATATTTCTGTCTCTCTTCCTCTCTCTATATATATATATGTATCTGACTTTACAATAAAAATAAATAAATCTTTTTTAAAAAAAGAAAAGAGCAAGTATTCAGTGCTCTCTCGAGTTGTGCCTGAGGACAATAACATCGTCCCTGGTTTCAAAGCCTTGCTGTATCTGATTGCTCAGCTGTGTGAAAAGGCCCTCTGCCAACCCTTTGCCCAGAGAAGCGATTTGAATACCAGAGTCCCAAGGATGCATTCTCAGGTCATCCCACCCTTCAGCTTAAACACAGGGACGGCTTCCTGTGTGGTCCTGAGAGACAGAGAAGGTACCAGCTCTGGGATTGTGTTTCTTGTTGCAGCTGCTGCAAAGGAAATAGATCTGCAGTGACTCAGACTCTTGTAACAGAAGGTTCAGCTGTGACCCTAGTAAGCGCCACACAATGACCCTATTTTTTCCTGTGTGGGGTTAGAGAGGTGTGTGTGGCCTGACTCACAAATTCACACACATAATTGTGAAAGAAAATTAATATTGTAAGCCATGACATTTCCCTTATGTATCTTTCCAAAAGCTGAAGGAAATACCCCCCAAATGGTGAATTTACCAACAATAAAGATCTGGAGTCTGTGGTATGCGGCATCAACCCTTGAGAAATGAAAGGACTTACCAAGAATGTGGGTGGAGTGGGAAGGGAGTTGCCAGAACAGCAGATCAAGAAAAGTACAATGTGACCCAGCATTGTGAAAGCGGCAGGTAAACCACCTTCTGCAGTGCCAACATTCTAAGAGCCAGTTGGGCTCCCAGCTGCTCCGCTTCTGATCCAACTCCCTGCTATTTTGCCTGGGGTAAGTATGAAGATGTCACCAGTGCTTGAGTCACTACCCCCTACATCGGAGACCTGGAAGGGATTTTTGGCTTTTGGCTCTTGGCTTTGGTTTGCCTCAGCCGTGGCCATTTCAGCCGTTTGGGAGAGTGAACCAACAGATGAAAAATCTCCTTGTTGTCCCCTCTCTCTAATTGTGGGAGGGGATGAGAGGGGAAAGACCCAACCTGAGCTTTCTCTATTGTTCTGGACATCCAAGGGTCTATAAAGCTCTAAAGTCCACATCATGGTCAAAATGGCACAAATCCTGTGTGCTGACCCATCTCCTTTTAAATAAAGGGAAACTAGGAGCTGTTGGCTCACCCATGGCCTTAGACATATCAACCCAGCGACAGTACCCTGGAAAATAAGAAGAAAGAAGCATGCTAGGCCATGACAGATAGCTACAACACCCACCACAACACAAGAGATCCAGCTCTGGGGGCAGATTGTGTAAGGGATTTGTAGTCTCACCTCTGTGGGACTGCAGCACTTGCGGGCTGAGCAGATAGCTGGGAGTGGAGACGGACCAATCCAAGCTAGACAATGAAACTCAGCTTATGACAAGAACTCACTTGGCACTCATAGGAGCAGAGGCTGGGAGGAGGCTATGTCAGGCCAGGACTGATGGCAGACCTAAGATCTGGGGTTGGGAGACAAACTTGAAGAACTCCACTACTAGGAAGGTCATGGCCAGTTTCCTGCCAGGTCATGGCACGAGAGCTGTAGCTCCTGCTGGAGAGCATATGATCTGGGGTGGACCAGTTTAGATAAGTTTTTAACACTTGTCACAGTATGTTGGGCTGGATCTGGGGCCAAGCCTTACACCCACTGGCACAGAAGAGGGTGAGGGCTGTGCCTGGCCTGGCTACCCCAAAACACCCACCAATGAATGCTGAGACTGAACCCATGCCAAGCTGGGTGGAAGCACCAGCCACCACTCACAAGATCCATAGCTAGCAGCAGATCTTATATGAAACCATGGGCTCTACTCTGTTGCACTGCAGCTGGTGCTGGTTAGCATAAGAGTAATGGCTAGGGATGGACTGGGCTGGGCAAGGTGGCAGCACTCATTGGTGTGGGAGTGAGCTGAGCTCAGCTGAGCTGCGGCATACATGTGTGTTCATGAGAGCCAGATGGGATATGGGGTGGGCCAGACTAGACAACAGCACATGCCAATACATTCAACATTCAGGGCTGCTTGTATGCCTAGTGGGGGTTATTGGAGCTCACCCGGGCTATGCTGTAGCATCCACTGGAATGTGTAGGAACTGGATCTGTGGAGGGCTGGGCTGGGCTGGGCTGCAGCACCTATCAATTGACATGAAATATGGTGTGGGAGGAGGAACAGACCAGGCAGTTGCATTTACCAATATGTGCATTGGCTGGTGCAGATGACAGGCCACACCTGACTCTAAATTAGCTGGCACATATAAGAGTCAAGTCTGAAGTCACCCCAGGTAAGGTTTGCTGGGGTACTCCCCAACTGGACTAGCTGGACTCAGACCTTGGCCACAAGGAAAATCACAGGATATGTGGTCCAGTCTGAAGCGCTTGTGTCAGAAATGAGCCTCCTCAGTTGCTGATGCCTGTGTGATGGATAGCATGTCCAGATGTACACAGAGGACATGAAAGTCAGCTAATCTAGGCCAGCAGAGGACGGAAAGCAAAACAGATTGGACAACTCTCCTGATCAAGCTTCGCAACAAGTTTCTGGATCTGTGGCTGCACTAACATGGACTTTGTGAAACAATAGACTCTTGGAAAAATTTTCTCAACCCTGGAATAATAAAGATAATAAGTCTCAGGGCTATCAACACCTCTCAAGTAAAACCCTCAGAACACTCTTCCCTTTGTCAGGGACTCTAATACCAAAGGATCATCACCCACCCCTAAGTGCTGATGTAGTTTTTGTTTGTTTGTTTGTTTTATTTTTATTGGAAAGTCAGATATACAGAGAGGAAGATCTTCCATCCAAAGATTCACTCCCCAAGTGACCTCAATGGCCAATGCTATGCCGATCCAGAGCCAGAAGCCAAGAACTTCCTCCAGCTCTCCCACATGGGTACAGGGTCCCAAGGCTTTGGGCCATCCTTGACTGCTTTCCCAGGCCACAAGCAGGAAGCTGGATGGGAAGTGGAGCTGCCAGGATTAGAACCGGCACCCATATGGGATCCTGGTGCATGCAAGATGAGGACTTTAGCTGCTAGGCCACCACGCCGGGCCCTGCTGATGTAGTTTGACAGCAAGAAGTGGACATCCGAGATCAGACCAGCTTGAGCGCATTTAGGGTGGTATGGCCATAGACAAGAAGTGGACATCGTACCTTCCCTCCAGGCAGACACAGAAAAAAAAATTGATACCTTGATCCTCCTCACCTAATAAGAGGCCCACATGTGTCTCCTCACCTAATAAGAGACCCACATGGGTATGCATCCTTCTCAATTGTGTAAAAAAAATGTTAAAAATCAATAAAGTCATGAGGAAAAATGAAAAATAAAAGGGATGGCATGGGACTGGACTACCACTCATTTCTGGGGCTATTTTTAAAAGTTATGGGAATTGCCATGCAGCCAGCACATAATGGAATTGCCCTACCATCATGCCATTTGATTAGAAGGTCACTGGGAACCACAGCCTTCAGTCATGTTATTTCCAGCTAGCACTAATAGCAAGTTCTTATCATTGTGCAACCTGTGCTGGTTTCTATTTCTCATAAAGGAACCAAGGCTTGTGGGAAGAGCAGATCAGTCCTTTCTACTCAGCACACAGACAGAGTGGCTTGCCTTGTGTCCAAAGAGAAAAGGAACTTTGGATCTGCACAGTACAGGGCTTGGAAGGCTCACCTGTCTCTTACACTGATTCCCATGTATCCCCAACTTTTTGATTTCTCCATCGCTTTTGTTTCCCATCTAGTAATGTTCTAAGGGAAGGAGGAAAACATGAAAAATAAAATGGTAAAAACTTCAGCAACTTAACATGTCTTTAGACCACTAATCTTGCACCTTTGCTTGATATAAAATGTTGAAAGTATTTTTCCTTGGCATTTGGAAAGCATTGTTTTAGCATCTTCTAGCTGCCAGATGCCATGGTTTTTAGTTGCCTGCTAAAGCCTTGAGGATCACTTTTTTTCATTTCCTTACAGAAATGTCATTTTATTGTGTCTTGTTGCAGGTCTCTTTTTATCTGCTGTGGTAAAAACTTGGTCAGAGGATTCAGTGCTGTGGTGTAGTAGCTGAGGCCTCAGCCTTTGGTAGCAACATCCCATATGGATGCCAGTTGGAGTCCCAGCTTTTCCATTCCCAATCCAGATCCCTCTTTGTGGCCTGTAAAAGCAGAGGAGGATGGCTCATGACCTTGGGTCCCTGCACCCATTGGGAAACTCCAGGGAAACTTTTGGCTCCTTGCTTTGGATCAACCGAGCTGCAGCCATTACAGACATTTGGAGAGTGAAATGTTGTATAAAAGATCTCTCTCCTCTGTGCAACTCTGCCTTCCAAGTGAAAATGAAAATAAATCTTTAAAAAAACGTTGGTCAGAATGAATGTATAACACGAAATAAATTCTTGAATTATGAATCATTTCCTGTTCTCTATTCTAAGTGAAACTTGTGTCATGATATTAGAATTTCTTTTAGTTTCTATTATTTTGCAATCACTTTTCCATTTTACTATGGATTAAACCATATAATTCATATCTTAAATCATTTCATTTCTATGATTCTCAGATTCTGTGATAATATGAAGGTGTAATTCTGTGACAATATTCTTAATACCATGACCTCATTCTTGTATATCATTTCATGTAAGTGTCTCTGTTTCATAAATGCCATTGTGTTTTCTTATATCTTTTTTTAAATATTTATTTTTATTATTTTTATTGGAAAGTCAGATATACAGAGAGGAAGAGAGACAGAGAGGAAGAGCTTCCATCCGATGATTCACTCCCCAAGTGAGCGCAACGGGCCGATACTATGCCGATCCGAAGCCAGGAGCCTCTTCCGGGTCTCCCACCCGGGTGCAGGGTCCCAAAGCTTTGGGCTGTCCTCGACTGCTTTCCCGGGCCACAGGCAGGGAGCTGGATGGGAAGCGGGGCTGCCGGGATTAGAATCCATATAGGTGCCGGTTCTACCTCATCCAGCAGCCCCACTTTCCATCCAGCTCCCTAATTGTGGGAAAGCAGTCGAGGACAGCCCAAAGCCTTGGGATCCTGCACCTGCGTGGGAGACCTGGAAAAAGTTCCTGGCTCCTGGCTTCGCATCAGCGATTATTATAGCCAGAGATCAAGAACATTTTAACTTCGAAACTGCACAGTCTGCGCGACTCAGAGTTCTCGGTACCCGCGGGGATGGATCAGGCCCCCGGCCCTGGCTTGTCCCTCAGGATCTCTGTTCCCAGCAGAGCACTCCAGAGTTCCTGTCTCAAGAAATTCCTGTTTTTAAAGATTGGTTTTTATTGCAAAGTAAGATATACAGAAAGGAAGATCTTCAGTGACCACAACGGACCGGCGATCCCAAGCCAGGAGACAGGAACTTCCTCCAGGTCTCCCAGGGTCGCTGGGACTAGAACTGCCACCCGTACGGGATCCTGGCGCTTTCAAAAGTAAAGCCTTGAGCTCCCAGGCACCCTCCGGTTTCGAGTTTCTTTGAAATGAAACCTAAAGAACCTGAAGCAGATTTTTCTACCTCGTTACTGGTGTCGCTTGCACTGGCCGCACTCGCATTGGAGAGCTGTTTCCAAAAGAGCCTATCAGCGCAGCCCGTACGCGAACCGGTATAACTGGACTCTGAGTCAGTTTGTCCGACTCCGGATCGTCATCTCCCCGGACTCCAGATCGTCATCTCTCCGGACTCCAGATCGTCATCTCCCCGGACTCCAGATCGTCATCTCTCCGGACTCCAGATCGTCATCACCCCGGACTCCAGATCGTCATCTCCCCGGACTCGGGATCGTCATCTCCCCGGACTCGGGATCGTCATCTCCCCTGACTTGTGATCGGCATCTCCCTGGACTTGGATTCAGAGTCTCCACGGACTCGGGGTCAGAGTCTGCACGGACTCGGGGTCAGAGTCTCCCTGGACTCGGGGTCAGAGTCTCCCCGGACTCGGAGATGACATAATGGAGCTCCAGAACCTGCTCCTCCTGCTGCTCGCGGGGGCCCAGGCCCTGACCGAGACCCGGGCGGGTGAGTGCGGGTCGGGAGGGAGACGGGCTCTGCGGGGCAGGAGCGAGGGGAGCTGTCTCTCTGGGACCTCACACGCCCTACACCTCCTGTTCTCCCCTCTCACCATATTTAAGACCCTCCTTTCTCCCCACACAGCATTTCGCGGTCTTGACACTTCCTGAGTGTCTTCCCCAGCCCAGCCCCACAGAGCTGGGAAACAAGGGTCGGCCCGGGTCTTGTAAGATTAGTGAATAGTTTAAAGTAATGATAAGGATTAATTAGGGATCTTAATGGATTTGTGAGAAGTAGATGAGGAAAAGGTAATGAGTCATAAAAAGGTGTTTGAATATTATGCAACATTAGAATGGTAGCAATTGGGCCGACGCGGTGGCGCAGTGGTTAAGGTCCTCGCCTTGCACGCCCGGGATCCCATATGGGCGCCGATTCTAATCCCGGCGGCCCCGCTTCCCATCCAGCTCCGTGCCTGTGGCCTATCGGGGGTCTCCCGTCCTGCGGAAGAAATCACCCCGTACTTGAGAGAGTCTCAGAGGCGCTTTATTCCGATCTTCCGCTGAAACCATTATGACCGCTAATTCCCTTGCGCTCCAGCCCCTCCCCCACAAAGCCCCCCACCGCCGCTTATCTGTCAACAATCAGCTTAAAGATCACCAAGGCCCACCAATCAGGGCAAAGGGCCAATCACAGGGCAGGAAATGGTCAGTGCCCCCAACACGACCCAGAGCCTTGGGAACCTGCACACACGTGGGAGACCCGGAAGAGGCTCCTGGCTTCGGATGGGCTCAGCTCCAGCCGTTGTGGCCGCCTGGGGAATGAACCATCGGATGGAAGATCTTCCTCTCTGTCTCTCCTCTCTGTATATCCGCCTTTTTCCAATAAAAATAAAATAAATCTTAAAAAAAAAGAATGGTAGTAATTGAGTATTGATCATCTAACTGCTAATCTTACTTCTGTACTGATTGCTTTTGCTTAAGTGTAAAGAGACAAGACTAACAGCACTCGGGCCATTAAGTAAGAAAGTAGGTCTTAAGTTTCACTTCCCAAAGTTGACAATGCCCCTGAGAAATGTAATCAAAAGTGAAAGAGAAAAAAAGCCCTTAGCCTTGGGTGATGGCAAGGGACCAGTTGGCTCTCACAGTCCTTTGCGTAATTTGGTCTGCACTGTGTGAAGGTGCAGGGCTGATTGGTGTACCTGACTAGGAGGATATAAAAGCTGCCAGGATGGATGGATAAGGGTGTTCACGGAGAGGCATACATGGTGAAATGCTATCCTAACCTGTATGCAACCGAAAAGTAAGATCCTGTAATCCCTATTTGGGGGAGAATGAAGAAGGACTTTTCTGGAAAATTTGTTTGATGTTAAATGTTATTTGCTGTGCTTTATCCAACACTGAATTCACTGTTTAATCTGGAAATACTTACGCTGCGTAAGAGTCAAAGCTGTTCTATTCAGTTCCTTGTCTTTCCCATCAAGTTCACTCAGGCTTTTTTTTTTTTTAATACAGAAAATAAGACCTAACACGTTTGGGAAATCTGTCACTATAATAAATTGTACATTGTTATGTTATTGTTTTTTAAATTACCCTAGAAAACTTTAAATACAGATAGAACTATTGAAAGAAATTTTAAAGTGTTATGAATATATGGTTGTCAAAATAAAACATTCTTATGAATATTAAAAAAAAAAAAGCTGCCTAGGAGGACCAAGGGGGGGTCCCTGTCAGGACTCCACTGCCTTGGATGAGACTAGCAATAAAGTTTCTTTGGGTTTGCGTGGTTGCACCTGTAACTTGTCTGTCCACAGTCTGGGGATCTTTTGGACCTAACTGGACCTAATAGTCTCAGCCCCTCTCTCCCCCAGGCTTCCACTCTCTGATGTATTTTGACACCGCTGTGTCCCGGCCCGGCCTCAGGGAGCCCCACTTCATCTCTGTGGGCTATGTGGACGACACGCAGTTCGTGCGCTTCGACAGCGACGTGAACCGGAGGACAGAGCCGCGGGCACCGTGGATACTGCAGGTGGAGCAGGAGTACTGGGACCAAAATACACGGCATGCCCAGAACACCGAGTTCTTTTTCAGAGTCAACCTGCACACACTGCTTGGCTACTACAACCAGAGCGAGGCCGGTGAGTGCTAGTGGGCCTGGGTCATAGATCGTGATTCCTCCCGGGGCTCCATGGACAGGCCAAAATCCACCGGATTCTCAGGGTCTGACCTTCATCCAGAAACCCACCTTCACCGTACAAGTTCAGTTCTCAGATTCAGCAGGCAGGGGGGCAGTGGATTTAAGTCACTGTGCCTTTTCCAGGCTCTCACACGCTCCAATGGATGTATGGCTGTGAGGTCGGTGAGGACGGGCGCTTCCTCCGCGGGTACATGCAGTTTGCCTATGATGGCAAGGACTACATTGCCCTCAACGAGGACCTGCGCTCCTGGACCGCTGCCGACACAGCAGCCCAGAAAAGCAAGCTCAAATCTGAGAGATCCAGTGAGGCAGAGCACCACAGGACCTACCTGGAGCGCGAGTGCGTGGAGTGGCTGCACAGATACCTGGAGATGGGAAAGGACACTCTGCAGAGAGCAGGTGTGTGGGACTTGCAGGACCCTCAGCGCACTCCTCACTAGCTGGTGGCCACCCAGGGCTAGAGGGAAATAGGGTACAATCCTCCCAGGTTGCTAGGTCCTGCTCCTCAGAATGACTGTCAGGCCCACCCTTCTCAGAGTGGAGAAGGATACTGCTGAGCCTTTGGTGACTCTCCAGCAATGCTGCTCTCTCAGGCCTGGCCTCTCGCCCAGCTCAGGGTCTTGGGATCTAACAGCTGAATCTGATTTTTCCTAGTCTCCTCACCTCCACCAATGTGAATGAAGAGTGGAATCCCACCGCACACACCCCACGAGGGGACCTGAGCTGTGCGGCACTGGGACTTCTCACCTTCATGCTAGAGTTAGTGCAGGAACAAGGCATGATCCTGAAGCCTGTGTCCAGGCCAGGTCTGGGTTTGCACCCCTCCCCCTACCCAGAGTCCAGTCTACTCTCAGGATGGTCCTCTGGGTGTAGCTTTCGTATCCCTTAAGACCACACAGGGCCTGAATTTTCCAAATCTTCCCTCAGACCCTCCCACAGCACATGTGACTCACCACCCAGTCTCTAACCAGAAGGCCACCCTGAGGTGCTGGGCCCTCGGCTTCTACCCCAAGGACATCACACTCACCTGGCACCGAGATGGGGAGGACCTGACCCAGGACACGGAGCTGGTAGAAACCAGGCCTTCAGGGAATGGAACCTTCCAGAAGTGGGCAGCTGTGCTGGTGCCTTCTGGAGAGGAGCAGAGATACACATGCCACGTGGAGCATGAGGGGCTGCCTGAGCCCCTCAGCCTGAGATGGGGTAAGAAGGACAGAAACTGGCAGAGCCTTCAGCAAGGGTGGGGCTGAGACCTGGATCAGAGCCCTCACCCTTCCTTCCCCTCTCAGAGCCTCCTCGGCCCACTGTGCCCATGTGGGGAGTCATCGCTGGCCTGGTCCTCATTGGAGCTGTGCTCACTGTTGTGGTGATGATGAAGAGGAAGCTCTCAGGTAGGGCAGGATGAGTGCTGAGTCTGAGTCCCCGGTCCGCCAGGGAGAAGGTCCCCCTACTCCGTTCCTGGGAGGCACTCTGCACCCCTTGCTGAACCCTAGATGCTCACAGTGGCTCTGGTGTGAAGCTTGAGTGAAGGTGAAGGATGAACACTCCAGGGGATGACTCTGCTCATGGGGACCTGAGTTCCAGCAGCCCCAGGTCAGGGGGAGGTCCCAGCTGAGGACACACCTCCAGGAGAGGCACCTTCTGACCCTTTTCTGGGTCTACAGCCATAGGTCTAGAAACTTCTCTGAGATGAGCGAGTCCTCTGGGGTTCCTATGGCAGGTCCTCAGCTCCTGCCTTCTCCCTGCTTCTCACTAGTTCTTTTCTGTTACAGGTGGGAAAGGAAGGAGCTATACTAAGGCTGCAGGTAAGCACTGGGATGTGTTTGGGGATGGGGGAGCCCCAAGAGCCTTGTCTTGGCCAGATGCCCATGGGGAAGCTGCCCTGTGCACCCTGTAGCTCTGACCAAGTTCTGATTGCTCTCTCACAGCTTGAAAGGTGAGACCTGAAGGGCCTGGAGAAGAGAAGGGGCGTGACAGAGGGATACAGAGTGACTGGAGGATTCCTTGCATCTGTGCATTTGCAAAGTGTGCAGTGATGTTTATGTCCCCGTGTGTAGTGACCTGAATTTTTTACCTTGTTTTTGTAGCTTGAAACAACTGTTTTTTGGGGGACTGAACTATCCAAGTCTTGCTCAAGTTTCCACCTCTGTGTCTTCAAAAAGCCTTGCCCTCCCTTGCTGCAAAGACATCTGAGTGTGTTCCTGTGGCACAGTGTGAGGTGGGAGCCTGGCCCTTCCAGCCCAGCGTGGGCGCCTCCATCCCTGTCTCAAATCAGCTGCACCTGCTGCAGCTCCATCCTTCCCTGTGCAAATCTGAACAGCAATTCCTCATTGCAATTCTTGTTTGAGAAATTGTTAACTTTGGGCCCAGCGCGATGGCGATTAGAACAAATGCCCATATGGTATCCCAGTGGCATATGCAAGGCGAGGACTTTAACCACTACGCTATCGCGCCGGGCCCTGAGAGATTGTTAATTACAGCAGTAAATTGCTATAATTTGACAGAGAAAATGAACAAGCACCAAGAGCCTTCCAGATGCTGTGTGTGTTGCAAAATGGGAAAAGAGAGGCTGGAAGGCCTTGGGTGAGGATGGGTCTGGGCCCAAGAACTGCTCAGCCCATCAGGCTTTGTCGTGGTCACTGCTGAGCTGGCTCATCTGCACCAGTGTTCTAATCTCTCCAGTAGGACTTGCCCACAAACACTTGCCATCACAGAACTCAGCGTGGCCAGGCTGCCCTGTATCATGGACCTGAGGCAGTGGAGGTTGCTTGTAGCTGGAGCACCCTAAACTCTGGATTGGTCATCCCTCAGCTCCCGTGTTCCTGTGTTCATTTTATTCCTTAGTGTTGTTGGCTGATTGTACCTGCTCTTCCTGTGTATAAGCTCCAGTGGCCTTTACCTGTGTGTGTGCAGGAGGGAAGCAGGAGGGCAGAGGACACTTGTGAGAAAGCACAGGCCACCTGGACTCCAGTGGGAGAGGACACCGCTCTGCAGTGACCACAGGCAGCCTCTGTCTCAGGCTCCACTAATGAAGCCACCAGGTCTGTAAGGGGCAAGTGCAGCGTACTCATCACTCAGCTGACTATGCTATGGGCCAGACTCAGTGCTGGAGCAAGGTGGCCAAGAGTGTGTGTGAGGGCCAGGGCAGCTGGCTGTCTCACCATCATGGTCAGTGTGCACTGCCCCAAAGAGGTGACCTTGAGGTAGGTTAGAAGGACACAATCAGTCACCAGCAAAGGTGTCTGGGCAGGTGCTATGCAGGCGGAGGACAGCCAGGGAAAATGCCTTGGGCAGGAGCGAGTCTGAGAGTCTGCACACAGAGCACAGAGGCGTCAGGAAGGCTGGATCGGGGCACCGCTGTCCAGCAGAACGTGCGCACACTGGAAGGCTCATCCCTGGGTCTGAGTGAGATCAGAGCCATGAAAGCTCTGAGTAGAGGAAGGACAAGTGCACTTTCTGATCAGGGACCACTCTGGCTGCTGTGCAAGGACAGAGCTGGAGACAAAGCTCTAGGGAGCTTTCCCACATGGGACTGAAGCAGCCCAGGATCCTCCACTGACACACTGGAGTAGCACCCAGGAGCCCTGTGTGGTTCTCACAGTATAAAGAAGCTTGTAAGTGTCGTTTTGGACACAGGAGAGCGGCTTTCTCTGTTCTTAGCTCTAGCTTTGCCCTCTTCTGTCTCTTACAGTGACCATAAGGGTCTCTCAGGATCCCCAAATAAGCTCAGTGACAGAGATAGAGACTAATCCAGCAGTTTAGAACATCCAGGGAAAAGTTGACTGGCTCATCACTGTTCAGCCTGCACCCCTGCCTAGGCTCCCTACAGGAATGTTTGCCAATCTCTTTCTCAAATTTTTGCTAGACTTCACTGGCATAGGACACCCTGTGTGCTCTGAAGCAGAGCTCAAGTCTTCCTTACTCTGTGAATTATTTGGGGTTCTCTTCTCACTTACTTAAGATTCTTCTGTTCTCCAATTGCCAATAGGTGACTTGTTAAAATTATAGAACTTCTTAATTGCTTGCCTCTGTCCTAAAATGTATAAAGTTCTATAAAATCTTGTTAAAATACTATGAACTGTTGGATTATTATAAATCACAACTAGGGGCCCGGCACAGTGGCCTAGCAGCTAAAGTCCTCGCCTTGAATGCGCCAGGATCCCATATGGGCACTGGTTCTAATCCCGACGGCCCTGCTTCCCACCCAGTTCCCTGCTTGTGTCCTGGGAAAGCAGTCGAGGACAGCCCAAATCCTTGGGACCCTGCACCCGCGTGGGAGACCTGGAAGAGCTCCTGGCTCCCAGCTTTGGATTGGTGCAGTACCGGATGTTGTGGTCACTTGGGGGGTGAATCATTGGATGGAAGATCTTCCTCTCTGTATGTCTGACTTTGCAATAAAAATTTAAAGAAAAAAGGAATCGCAACTAGTTTAAATCTTTTCCCATATACACTATGATTTAAGTCTAGCAAAAGTTTTTAGTGCTGTGCTTTATGTTCTAGACTGGATGTCTTTTTGACACTCTTAGGTCTTACAACAATTTGTAAAGTATAATTGTTTTAAAATCAAACACTTGTCATTTTTTTTCCTAGATGCAAAACTAATATGACATTTTCAAAAGTTAAATGCAAAAATTGCTAATGCTATGGAAACGTTAAAGTCAGCTTGTATTTACCTGTCCTGTGTGATGGCTTATATCCTGATGCTACACGTCAGTCCTTGCATTGTTTCTGTGCCTTCTAATTGACCTAGGTTAGCAATTTTATGCATCTCAGAAAAGTTTCATTCATTTAATTTGTTTCAAAATTTGAGACTTAAAGGAAATAATTTAAACTAATATAAATCTAATCCATAGTCTTAGACTAAAGTACTCAGGTCTAATATTTACTCTAACTAAGGTTAAAACCTGATCATTCTTTTACATCTAAAGCTCAAGTATTCAAATTAGGGTTTCCAACTGAACACATGACACGCTAGGTTGGGAAAGATTATAACTGCCTTATGTTTTGTTGTCTATAAAGTTCTATAAAAGTAACAAGCAGAAGCACTCAGCCCAAACAGAACTCCAAGCACCTCTCATGATTTTCTGCATTCTACTGGGGACCTCTAGATTGACCGCCCCCTCCCAACAAGCCCCTGCTGCTATTGGTCCTTCAGTGCCCCTTTTCAGCGAAGCAGATGGAGTGGTCATCATCCTTCTGTCCCTAACAGCAATTGGGGTCCATTCTTCTGGGGGAGGAAATGTGAGGAGTCAACTGGAATAATAGGCAGTTAGGGTCTCTGGTCCCTGGTAAAGTTACCTTGTAAAATATAAAATGTGCCTCACCCCATTTCTTATGCTTCTAGGAGCGCATTCCTCCCTTGAGGAAGAACAAAGAGACAGAATCAACATATCAATCAGAGACACTTTAGTCCTAGTGAGAGATGATCTTAGAGGCAGAGAGCAAGAAAATTACTGGTGGTTCCAGAGCTGGTTTACAAACTCGCCCTGCATCACCACCCTGTTTTCAGTACTAGCAGATCTTTAACGTTAATATTTTCAGCATTACTTATAGGCCCATACATTGTTCATTGTATTGCTAGGTTGGTTAGAAATAAGTAGGAGCACAAAAACTAATGATCTTCTGTTGGGGTCCATGCAGCAGGTGTGGATGACATGAAGGTGTGAAGAGACAGCTCCCCTGTTTGGCAGGACCTGGCGGAGGCCTCTCTGACCACCTTGATGCAGTTTCACCCCCTGTTTGCATGGACACTCAAACACCCTACGAAGACTTCTTTCTTTTTCTTTCTTTCTTTCTTTTTTTTTTTTTAAAGATTTATTTATCTTTATTACAACGTCAGATATACAGAGAGGAGGAGAGACAGAGAGGAAGATCTTCCGTCTGATGATTCACTCCCCAAGTGACCGCAATGGCTGGTGCTGAACCGATCTTGAGCCAGGATCCAGGAACTTCTTCCAGGATTAGAACTGGCACCCATATGGGATCCTGGCACGTTCAAGGCAAGGACTTTAGCTGCTAGGCCTCGCCACCAGGCCCAGAATTCTGCAATCTATTGAGGCATTGTTGTTTGCCCCTGTGAGATGGTTTTGCAACTGATATGAGCTTGAGAGTTAATGTCACTGATAATGTCTTGGTGAGTGGATCTTTAACAATTTACACACAGGAGCACAATTAAGCCCATGCCATTTTTGGACACCTTGTTGGGTACTTAACCATTGCCTCAGAATCTGGCCCAGACATGTAGCACACCTTCTGGGAAGGGGCTTGATAAATATCCTAAATATTAATGCAAGTGATCAGAGTGAGAGCTGAAACTGCTATGGCAATAAATATACCTATTGTTATCTGAAAAGCTAGCTTGTCTTTGCAATTTTTAGGAGTGTAGAAAATGTAATTGTTTTAGCCGCTTTTATAATTTTTAGCTAAAGGAGTTAAGGATGCTTTTATTAAAAAAATATACTTTTAATTATTGTTTCATTGTTTATGGGGTTGTAGAGCCTATAGGTGTAGGGGGATTTAACATTTGAAGTTTTGGTTTTAGATTTTTGCATTTTTTCCCTTGTAACCTATTTTCCCACTAAATAATGGGTGAATTGTAAAAACAGAAATGTGGTAGGAATGTATTACTAATTAGCAGATAATCGCATGTGCCTTGGCCTTGGAGTCCTGGCTGTTGCTCCATGGCTACTACTGAAGAATTAATAATGGCTTGCTTTGAAGAATATGAATACAGTATTTTGAAGAATTATCTTTAGGGGCACCTGCTTAGCCCTGAAGTGCAGACAGAATGACCAAATGTCTTTATATGACCCCTTAGTCTTGAAGTAAAGATAGAACAATTAGTTGTTTGTGTAGAAGCTTGTGAGGTGTCTGAGTAAATAAAAAAGGACAGCTTCTTGAGCTGTTGCAAGAGCACTCGAAGTGACAGTGTCCGATCTTTCTTTATCGCCGACTCAACGCACCCTTCCCAATCTCCGAACTTGGCAGTAGCTGGACTCCAGCAATCTTAAAAGCCTGTTGGGGGCCCGGCGCGGTGGCGCAAGTGGTTAAGGTCCTCGCCTTGCACGCCCCGGGATCCCATATGGGCGCCAGTTCTAATCCAGGCAGCCCTGCTTCCCATCCAGCTCCCTGCCTGTGGCCCAGGAAAGCAGTGGAGGACGGCCCAAAGCTTTGGGACCCTGCACCCGCGTGGGAGACCCGGAAGAGGCTCCTGGCTTCGGATCGGCATAGCATCGGCCATTGCGCTCACTTGGTGAGTGAATCATTAGATGGAAGATCTTCCTCTCTGTCTCTCCTCTCTGTATATCTGCCTTTCCAATAAAAATAAAATAAATCTTAAAAAAAAAAAAAAAAGCCTGTTGGATTTATTGTAGGTTGTTCCGTCTAGGCTACAACTCCCACTGGTTGGTGTGAATTCTTTATTCCACACTGACACACATGGAGAAATGCAATTTGATTTCTTTATTTTGGTTTTAAGTGGGATGCCCGCATTGCAAGAGGAATCTTAACTCACTGCATCACAAGGCCAGCACCATTTTTTTTCTTTAAGATTTATTTATTTTTATTACAATGTCAGATATACAGAGAGGAAGAGAAATAGAGAAGAAGAGCTTCCGTCCAATGATTCACTCCCCAAGCGACCGCAATGGCCAGTGCTGTGCCGATCTGAAGCCAGGAGCCATGAATTTCCTCCAGGTCTCCCACACAGGTGCAGGATCCTGAAGCTTTGGGCCGTCCTCGACTGCTTTCCCAGGCCACAAGCAGGGAGCTGGATAGGAAGTGGAGCAGCTGGGATTAGAACTGGTACCCATATGGGATCCCGGGGCGTTCAAGGTGAGGACTTTAGCTGCTAGGTCATGCCACTGGGCCTATTTTTTTTTTCTTTTTAAGATATTTAAAAGAGATTTCTTTTATTTTTTAAAAATATTTCTTCATTTTTTTTTTATTGGAAAGTCAGATTTACAAAGAGAAGGAGATTTACAGGAGAAGGAGAGACAGAGAAAAAGATTTTCCATCTGCTGGTTGACTCCCCAAGTGGCTACAACAGCCAGAGCTGGGCCAATCTGAAGCCAAGGGCCAGGCACTTCCTACAGGTTGCCCATGTAGGTGCAGGATCCAAAGTCTTTGGGCCATCCTCGACTGCTTTGCCAGATCTCATGCAGGGAGCTAGAAGTGAAGTGAAGTGGCCAGGATGTGAACCGGTGCCCAAATGGGATCCCAGCACATGCAAGGTGAGGACTTTAGCCACTAGGCTACTGTACTGGGCCCTACTTTATTTTTTAAAGGCAGATTTGCAACCAGGAAAGGACAGATGGAGAAAATCTTCCACTTGTTGGTTCATTCACCAAATGGTTACAATGGCCAGAGCTGAGCCCATCTGAAGATAGGAGCCAGAAGCTTCATCAGGGTCTCCCATGTGGGTGCCAGGGTCCAGGGATTTGGGCTATCCTCTGTTGCTTTCCCAGACCATAAGCAAGTAGCAGGATTGGAAGCAGAGTAGCTAAAAAACAATCTGGCACCTATATGGGATCCTGTTGCAACTGTAGGCAACAGCTTTACCCAAATTTGCCACAATGCCTCCTTCATTTATTTTCCAATTTAGAGATAAGAAAATTAAATCAAAGTTCTCAGGATATTGTTGGTGAGACTTCAGCACAGGAGGATTCAGGCTGCCTCAAATGGAACTAAGGACACAGGAGTTGACACCATGGATTTCTTCTGGTGTGATTTCTTGGCGCCACCTGCTCATCATCTGGGGCAGACAGGCTCACAGACACCAGGGAAGAGAAACCAGACAAAGTTCCTGGGAGCCTTTTGATTCCCTCAGGACATTCCCTTCCCTCAGCTGCTCTAAACTCAGACCCAGCCCTCGTGGGGAGGATGCCGATGCCCCACGAGCACTTGTATCACCCACTTTGTCAGCCCTGGCTACTCTCCTGCAACACTGTCCACATGGCCACCTGCTCCTGCTGTCATCACATATCGAGGGAGTTGAGGGCCTCTTGAATAGAGGATCTTCTCCAAGAGAAGATGCAGCCTTCTCCTCCCAGCGTGGTGAAACTCAGCACTGTT